AAAAATCCTCAGACTCGAGAACAATTTAATCAATGGTGTACTAAATGGATTGAATTATATAAAAACAATCCCATGATATGTAGTTCTGTTATTAATAGAAAATATGAAGAATATTATTATCCATGGAGTTGGTCAGGTAGTAAAAAGAGTCAATTGCAAATTAGATTTCAAAAGCGACTTTTAGAACTTGAAGCATAATACATATTTTTTCGATTAGTCTATTTATTAGCCAAAGATTTATTCATGTATATCTATTTTTTCTCGATGTATATTTTATAAAAGATTCCAATTTTTTCTGCAGCATAAAATACGATATTAATTTCTCAATACTATATATCAGTTGCAAAGCAGCGACTTAAAGAGCCATGAAATTTAATAAAGCATATTCAGGTTTGATCAATAAATTGCCACCATCCTTAGTTAATGAAGCTTGGAAACGTCTTTTTTCCATCTGTCATATCAATAATAAATATTAAGGTTATTTTGCTATATATAAATGATCTGCGATATTTTATTCGTAATAATTGGCCGAAACCTATCATTTAATCCAAACAATCCTAACCACCTAACGAAAAACGCGCTTTTGATCCAATTACTATTGTTTTGTTTAATCCAGGAAAGTATTTTATGAATCTTAAAACAGTTGTGGCATCACACAATATACCTACGCCTGTATGTGACCGGGCCATATTTTATATGGATTCCTGCAGCCGATGTTTGGAAATTGGGCCTTGCAACGCCTACTAGGACCAATAACAACTTGTTATCCTTCTAGATAGATTCGTTCAACATACTCTTTCCTGTATATTGGACAAATTGAGTTTCCTACGCCTGTATGTGACCGGGCCATATTTTATATGGATTCCTGCAGCCGATGTTTGGAAATTGGGCCTTGCAACGCCTACTAGGATCCATAACAACTTGTTATCCTCCTAGATAGATACGTTCAATATACTCTTTCCAGAAACTCATTTTGTCAATGTCATTGCTATGTTTTCTTGTGTTTACATCTATAAAATCGTACTTACTTACTAAATTACACTTTTTATAGATGGATGTTTCAACCGGAGTTTCTTCTTATTTCAATAGCACAGAGAATGAAAATTGGTCTTTTATGGATTGCCTTGAATATTTATCAAAACAGTGTGTGCATTTAACATCGGAAAATCGGGATGAGATTTTTGAGAACTGTAAGATTCATTTGCGTTCAATAATTTCTTCTAAATCAACACTTAAAAGAGCTAAGGACAAAGCCAGTAAAATGGAAAATTCTGCACAACGTACATTTCATCGCGAAGAAGTTTGTTTGTTTTTTGAAAAACTGGATACAGAGGTATGTTAATTCGTTGTCATTTAATTTATATATAAATACTAATTTGTTACGTATTTTGTAGGCTAAAATGAATGCCACAAAAAATCTTAAGAATGCAATGAAAATTTTTGTGAATGAGAAAGAAAGTTTATATGAGACAAAACTAGAGGCACGTACGTATAGCAAGTTTACGAGACATATAGAAGATACGGATGCGGAAGTTGGTCGTTCATACAAACGCTCTAGACAATCGGAGGATTACCATGAAGAAACAGGTGAAGCAACAACAGACGAGGATGTCAATGCTTCTGAATCTCTCCTTCAAAAAAATGACAAAAAAGAAGATATACAAGATGACGTGGTAAGTAATTATTTTAATAATACATTTTAAAACAACGGATTTTTAATGCTGTTGATTTTTTTTCTGCCAGATAAAAGGCATTCTAGGAAATATTGTTGAATACTCAGACGTAACGAAGGAAATTTTTTCGATTTATAAAAAGCAATACCCTAATGGTGATCTAATTGATCTCCGGCTGAATTCGGCCTTTTTTTAAAAAAAAAACTTCCAAACTCGACAGCGATTTCGTATCTAACGGAGATAGATACCATAACTGAATCATTGGTTCCTAAAAATGTACATGATTTTCTTGTGCATCTTTTTTCGAAAAATTTAACCGCCAAAGAATGGCATTGTGAAATCGACGATCTAAGATCTCCAGAAAAAAATGATCCCGTAATGAACGCAGTAGTACGAGTTATACGTCGTACTTTACCACAATTGTATGTTAAGCATTAATTGATCTATTCTTTTTTTCGATTCTGTTCTAAATATTTTTTTCTTTTGCACAGTATCAAGGCATTCTCACTCGAAGATCAGAATCCTCTTATAAACATTACAACCATTGAAGGGGCTCATCTTAATTCTTTCGTTCATCCATGCCTCGATGCCTTTTTATGGTATATAGCAAATATACATTACGAGTATGGAGAGATTACATCGAAAAAACACGTTAATAATAATCGCGCAGATGGTGCGGGGTTCATGACAGATGTTAATAAATATCAGCTTGTATATGTCGAAGGTTCAAGGCCGGTAACAAAAGAGGATAAAGAAATTACTGATATAGAAAAAATTACTAAAAATATAAAAAATATATTTGCGAAAATCGTAAAAGAAACTATTAAAAATAGAAGGCGCCTGCCAGAGACGTTGTATGTATTTGGAGGTCAAAGCTTTCGTCTTCGAATACATCTATTTTATATTGATTATTGCGGTATGTATTTTCATTTATTGAAAATTTTACATTATAAAAGGTACTGATAATTTGAAATAAATATTAATTCAGGCACGTATAGATTAAATGAGGTTGATAACACTAATCTTCCTCGGAAATTCTCTGAAATGAAAGATTTCATTTATTTTTACGAATGTGTATTGAAGTGGGCGGTATGTATTAACACAAAATATTTGTTATGACATTTATAACATTTAACTTCCTTTAATCTTACGTATTATTTATGAATTTAGCTATTGGTTCGAAATGTTACGGAATCTTTTGATAAAGCAAAGACTGAACAGAGGCCATCACGGCTTTCATATGCAAATGCTCTTCTTCAATTGAATGATTGATCTATATTGGTTACAATATGTGGGCATCTACTGATGCAAAATATAGATCTTACATAAATTGTGAATAAAATATTTTCATTTATAATAATTTATATTCTCGAATTTCATGATTAATTTCTAATCTTGTATAATCATAATAAATAATAAAAAGTTTTCGGTTGATTAAAAAGTAATTTTTTCATATACCATATTACCAATTAGTATTTAAAGTTTTAACATCATTCAATGAGGCCCAATTCTCGAAGATGCTCCGGAATAACTATATATGGGTCTTCGTAGTACCAAACATACCTTAAAACAATCCAGTTTTCTTCACATAATTCTTTCTTGATAAAATTATTTGATCCTCCTCTATGAAAGAATTCTATATAATGGTCGTGTTGCTCACCTTGCACTTCAATCGCAAATCCGTATTCTGGATAGTAAATATCAAGATGTAAACCACTTGGATGTTCTGGAGTTTTAAGAAAGTCTGGTTGGCGTATTTTAGATGGTAGCCCAAGATAATTTGTTACAATTTCACGGCATAATTGTTCTCGTTTATTTTTGCAGTAGGGACACCAAGTTCCTCTTTGAATTTGATCAATTCGAGCAAGCCATAAATGGCCTTTAGAACAACTCCAAGAAAGTGGAGTACGTCTATTACAATAAGAACTAGAAATACATTTGCCACCTTTTTTATTTGCGAGATTCTGAGCAAATTCAAGACTAAGTTTTTTGCATTCACGACACCAACATTTATAATTTTTGACCTCTGTAAGAGATAGGCGAAATTGATGATTATTTTTGCATTCCCACAAAAGAGGTGATTTATTGTTAATATAATTCTCGGAAATACATCTTCCATTTTTAGCAAATGCTAACTCCTGAGCTACTGAAATATTAAGTTTTTTACTTACACAATGGGGACACCATGAATGTTTATTTTTGATATTATAGAATCGAGCAGTCCATTGATGGAATTTATTACATTCCCAAAGCATTGGAGTTATATTATTAATATACTCTATGGAAAGGCATTTTCCTTCACAAGATTTTGCTATTTTTATTGCATCATTTGAAGATAATTTTTTAGGTATTGTGATTAATAATATATTCTTAAATAATTATCTTTTCAAAATATTGTGCAGTATCACAATCTATACATTAAATGAATCTATATCTATGAATAAGTAAGAAACATTTTATGCAAAAATTTATCTCATATATATAATACAGATATACCAATCAAGAAACTCAAACCCAAGATACTAACCCAATTTGTGATCAGACACATAAGTGTCCTTGCTTCGCATGTGAGGAAGAGATTAATTGGCGTGTTAAAAAAGAGTTAGATAGTTTATCCCATCAATTGCTTGAATTCAACAAAAAAACTTTTGACCCTTTTATGCAAGAAATCACTAAACAACTTGAAGAGCAAATTAATGCTAATAATAAATTGCGCAGTGAAATCGATCAACAAAAATTAAAATTGCAAAAAGCAGAAAAATTACTTG